TCACAAGCTATTACCATGCCACTGCACTTTAGCCCGGACAAGAGAGACCCTGATTCCAAAATTAAAAAAAAAGAAAGAAACCTCATATTTGAATACTGATATGTCATCAGTACATACTCCAAATTTACCAATCTCAGTTGTGCCAAAAAAAAAAAAAGAAAAAAAAGAAAGAAAGAACCCAATACTTACCCTAGGAATTAAGATACAGTTTCTAAGACTTAGGAGGCTACATTGATACTACACCAGAAGACCAACGAAAGTAAACTCATTTTTTCTCTTTTGATACTGCACTTAAAATTCAACACCATACTATAACAACTGAGAATATATTATTATTTTATATCTTGGAATATTTTTGTTGTACTTCACTTTCTTTAAATTGTAAAATGTCAAGTGGAGAAAAAGTATTTTCTTGTTCTCTCATATATCATTTGAACATTTATCTTGTGCAATGACTCACAAGTTAAGGACACATCAAAATCTCCCGGAGGGATCTTTTTAACTAACCATATCTAAAATTTTAAATACCCTTTTCCTCTACACACACCCCATCTACTGAGGGTCCCTATCACAGTTAGTGATTGTTATGAATAGGAATAAGTCACACCTCTAGGATGTAACATGGCAGAAAAAAGGAGGAGAAGCACTGAGCAAATGGCCCCTTGTTTATTTTCCCTTCTTTCACAATTGAGCTCAAAAGTGCCACTACTAGACTGTCACAAAATCTCTACAGCAGATGGGCAACAGACCAGTTTAAAAATTAGATGTACCATCCAGGCGCAGTGGCTCAAGTCTGTGAGCCTAGCACTTTGGGAAGCTGTGGCGAGAGGATTGCCGGAGCCCAGAGCTTCAACCAGCCTGGGTAACATGGTAAGACCTTGTCTCTAAATATATCAAAAAATTAGGCCTGGTAGCACGCACCTGTAGCTCCAGCTACTTGCAAAACTGAGGCGAAGGATCTCCTGAGCCCAGCAGGTCGACACTGGGGTGGCCATGAGCATGCCACTGCACTCCAGCCTGAGCGAAAGAGTGAGACTCTGACTCAAAAAAAAAAAAAAAAAAAGCATTAGATGTACTAAATCCTAAAGATCCCAAGATTGGTTTGTCATCAGAAACACCAAAGAAGCCTGCTGGAAGTATAATTTTCTGGACCCTACCTCCAGGGATTTTTATTTAGTTGGCAAGAAATAAGACCTGGGAATCTAGTTTTGTTTTTTGGGGGTTGTTTTTTTTTTTTTTTAGTTGAAGTCTCTCACCCTGCCGCCCAGGCTGGAGTGCAATGGCACACTCATGGCCATGGCACCCTCTAACTGCTGGGCTCAGGTAATCCTTCCACCTCAGCCTTCCAAGTAGCTGGAACTACAGGCGCGTGCCACAATGCCCAGTTAATTTTTTTTTTTTGTAGCGATGCGGTCTCACCATGTTGCCCAGGCTGGTCTCGAACCTATTGACTCAGGCAATCCTCTCACCTTGGCCTCCCAATGTGCTGGGATTACAGGGGTGAGCCACCACGCCCGACCAGGAATCTACTTTTTAAAGCCAGGCATGGTGGCTCACGCCTATAATCCCAGCACATTGTGGGGTGAAGGCGAGAGGATTGCCTAAACCCAGCATTTCAAGGCTGTGGTAGCTGTGAGCGTGCCACTGCTCCAGCCTGGGTGATAGGATGAGACTTCAACTCAAAAAAAAAAATTATTTTTAGATGCTAGGCACAGTGGCCCATGTTTGTAATCCCAGCACTTCAGGAGGCCAAGACAGGCAGATTGCTAGCCCAGGAATTTGAGACCAGCCTGGGCAGCATAGCAAGACCTCGCCTCTACAAAAAAAATAAACAACTAGCCTGACCTGTAGTCCCAGCTACTCAGGATGCTGGGGTGGAAGGATTGCCTGAGCCCAGGAGGTCAAGGCTGCCATGAGCCGTCATTGTCATTGCTGGGTGACAGAGTGAGACCCGGACTCAAAAACATATTTTTAGAGACAAAGTCTCTCACTACATTGTCCAGGCAGGTCTCAAAAAATTCCAGCCTCAGCTTTCCAAAGTGCTGGAATTACAGGTATAAACCATGTCTCCTAGCCCACAATTTCTAATTACTTTGAAATCTCTGATTCAAATGAATTCAAGGTTTCGTTTTCAATTTGCATTGTATTACCAAGTAAAATTGAAGATTTTTAACTCTATGATATTAAATTAACTAATATAGGCAGAATAGTGTATAAGCATTAATAAAAATGATTTAGATCTATATTATAAGGCTTTAGTATACAGTAGAAATGTCAGCTAAAAAAAATTATAGTATACTATCTGTAATATTCCATTCAGGTAAAATGTATTATGTGAGTATGCGTAGAGATATTCCATTAAGGAGAAGCATCAAAATGTTAACAGTGGAATAGCGAAGTTATCAGTATACAGGAGGACCTAAGGTAAATTTTGCTTTTTTTTAAGAGTCAGAATAAGCCGGGCTCGGTGGCTCAGCCTGTAATCCCGTGCCTTTGGGAGGCTGAGGTGAGTGGATGGCCTGAGCCCAAGGGTTCGAGACCCGCCTGGGCAGCAAGACCTCATCTCTACAATAAATCAAAAAATCAGCCAGGCGTGGTAGCGCATGCCTGTAATTCTGGCTACTTGGAAGGCTGAGGCGGAGGATCGCTGGAGCCCAGCAGGTCGAGGCTGCGGTGGCCGGGAGCAGCCACTGCACTCCAGTCTGGGCGACAGAGTGAGACTCCAACTCAAAAAAAAAAAAAAAAAAAAAAAAAAAAGAGTCAGAATGGTGCAATTATAGCTCATTGCACCTCAAATTCGTGGGCTCAAAGGATTCCCCACCTCAGCCTCCCAAGCAGATGGGACTACAGGCACATGCTACCACACTCAACAAATTTTTTTATTTTTTGTAGAGACAGGGTCTCCTATTTGCCCGGTCTCCTGGCCTCAAGTGATCCTCCCACCTCAGACTCCCAAAGCACTGGGATCACAGTTATAGTCACCACACCCAGCACTGCTTTCCTATCTATGTTCTTCTGTATTTATAAGCCGAAAATAAGAAGTCATCTTTTCCTCACCCATGGACTCTGGTCACAAAAAAAGCCGTTTTTTGTTGATGAATAAGTAGGTCTGGAGCTTGAATATATGACCTGTAACGTAGCTAGAGATCTTCAAGCAGCCAAAACGGTAGATCTGAAGACCTGAACTGAGTACTGGTAATTGCATGGTAAGACAATCAACAGAAATCTCAAATCAGACATACAGTCATGCATCAGTTAACAACAAGGATGTGTTCAGAGAAATGCATCACTACGCAATTCTGTCACTGTGCAAACATCACAGTACACAACCTAGACAGGTATAGCCTACTATACACCTAGGCTGCATGGCACATCCTAATTGTTCCTAGGCTATAAGCCTGTATAGCATGTAACTGTACAGAATATTATAGACAACTGTAACACAATGAGAAGTATTTGCATATTCAAGCATAGAGAAGGTACCATGAAAATATGGTATTATAATCTTTTTTTTTTTTGAGTTGGAGTCTCACTCTGTCGCCCAGACTGGAGTGCAGTGGCCGCTTATGCACCACCATCATATATGTCCATCACTGACTGAAACATGTTTGTGGTGCATGACTCTACTACATCAAAGACAGATAATTTCTACTTCTCCTTTACTTCTTAGCATCATTGTAGAATACTGCAAAAGTTTAGATAAGTTTATCACTCTCTTTATAATCTTACTAACTCAACCCCCAAAAAAAGTACAATGCCCACAATGAAGCAGCTACTTTAAAATTCTCCTTTAAGAGTATAAGATAGCTTTCAAAAGGAGGAAAATAATTGAAGTTGAAAAGTTCTAAGTCTTCTCAACAAAAGTATGTTTAAGATTTCAACTGCTGGAAGCCGAGTATGACTCTTTGGAGTCATTAGCTATGTCACTGAATGTGACACGGCTAATGCCAAATATCAACTAAAACCTGGAAGTGCAAAGAAAATAATAACTGAATGTTTCAAATAGCTAATAAGAAAGCACTTGGCCCTTAAATTGCAAAGGACCATAATTATAATGTCACCTCATTTATTTTCTACAACCAACCAATCACACCAAGTTGCCTTTTCTGCATCTTAAATTTAAAGAATTAAATTTAAGGACATCAACAACAAAAAGCTACATAAACATCCTGAAGTCAAACTCACATAAATGTCAACAAAAAGTACATACTTTTTGCTACTCACTGTGAGAACTTAATAAAAACTTACATCACTAATATTACCTTTTTAAAGTAATTTCTGTTTTGTGCTGACAACACTGATTTACCTTGGGACAGCTGTTGCTTTCTTAAGACTGACTTTATGACAAATCTTAATGGTATAGCTTAAGTTAATAGTCTAAGAAATTTTGGCAATGGATGTTAGCGTATAAGACAAAATTATATTCCCTCAAGAATTGGAAAAAAGATAACATATAATGAAAGAAAAAACAGGAAGAGAACAAGAAGCCAGGAAAAGAATCAAACAAGAATAGAGAGAGAACAGGGATGACAATTAGAAAAAACAGGGCAAATGACCAAATCTGAAAAAGGCCGAGAAATGGAGGACAGAAAATGCCAAAATAAGTAAGGGAAAGGTAGTTAGGTGAACTAAGAAGAGAAAAAATAATGGGTCAGATGTGGTAGTTCATACCTCTTATCCCAGCACTTTGAGTGGCTGAGATGAGAGGACTACCTGAGCCCAGGGGTTTGAGACCAGCCTGGGCAACCTGGCAAGACCTCATCTCCACAATAAATCAAAAAATTAGCCAGGTGTGGTAGTGCGCACCTACAGTTCTAGCTACTGGGAAGGCTGAGGCAGAGGATCACCTGAGCCCAGCAAGACAAGGCTGTGGTGACCATGATTGTGCCATTGCACTCCAGCATGGACAACAAGAGGGAAACTCTTACTAAAAGAAAGAAAAAGTAGAGAAAAAATGGCGCATTTATATATATGAATTCAGTCAATAAAGGTAAACCCACCTGGTTTTCCTCTTGCACAACTCTATACTGTTCCTTCCAAATGGTGATTTTGGAAGCTTCATCTTTTCTCAGGGCTCGTTCTTTCTTCAGCTCTGGGCTCCAGAAGGTTTTAATGCTATTCATTGAAGAACTCAATTTGCTCTCCTTGACTTCCACATCCTTCCGCAAGAGATCGTTTTCTCTTAACACTTCCTTCAGCTGTGTCTGCAGATCCATGATTGTGTTATCTCTTGCCTGACGAAGAGAGTGAGGTACGGTGGATGCCATACTCACGGGAGGGAGGTGATGGTCTCCAAATGCTATGGTGTCACTAGCAACCCCACTGCTCGCTATGTTGGGGCTACTGCCCATAGCGGTCATCCTAACACCATAAGGCAGACGTCCCCCAGAACGGCCAAGTGTCATGGTGCTTTTAGGTGTTTCTGAACCCACATTTTCATGGTCACTTAGGTACATAGGGCCAGATGTGGCATAGGCAGCATTTAAGGATTGTATATTTTCCATTGAAAGGGTTTTCCCACTGCCACCTCCAACACTGCTTCCAGAACTCCCTCCTGTACTATTGGTCCGACGATGCCCCAAGCGAGGGGAACGTGGAAGCCTCGGTGAACGCCCAGGGCTCTGGTTGCTCGGTTCCACCTTCCCAACTGAGCGAGCACTTCCATACATGGTTGCAAAGTGAACTCAGGTGCCAAAAAAGATATAAAGCAAAAGCAAAAATAACACTTTGTGAGGTCTCTCTGTGGCTATAAGCCAACTTAAAGTTAATCAGAAATAACAGGTCCAGCTGCCCAATCTTGAAGAAATAGCTCAAACCATATCTGTAATGAAAAGATCAATATATAAATACCAATACTTTCATATATTATACATTGGTAACAACAATTAGAAAATGCAGTTTTTAGATTTACAAAGAATTTTTTAAGGACATTCACAATAACAACAAAACCATAAAAGCACTTTGATAGAAATCTAAATAAGCGTACAAGCAATCTTGGAAAAAAAACTTTACTGAAAGACATGAAAGACCACCTGAACAAAAGATAAGTTATTATGTTCCTAGTGAGAAGACAAACACTGTAAAGTATCACTTCTTCCCCAACTACTTAGCACAACTCCAGTGAAAATCTGTACAGGACTTTTCAAGTAACTTAACAAGCTGACTTTAAAATTCAGAAGAAGCCAGGCATGGTGGCTCATGCCTGTAACCCAGCACTTTGGAAGGCCAAGGCAGGAGAATTGTTTGAGGTCAGGAGTTCAAGATCAGCCTTGGCAACACAGCGAGACCCTGTCTCTACAAAAATAAAAATAAAATAAAATTCAAATGGAAGAAAAAAGGTACAATAGCCAAATAATTTGAAACAAGAAAAACAAAGAAAGAAGACATCCCCAAATAGCATGATAAATTACAGATTCACAATCCCTTATTTGTACTGCAAAAATTCAAAAAGGTCTAAAAATACTTTTTTTTCTTTTTAACTCCTTTAGCAGCAAAATCTAATGTGATCTGACAGAGGTTACTTATTGTTTATATGTATCCTACTTAGTGTGACTATTCACATATTTCATTGAGAAAATAATGTATGTGACTACAGAATACTACATAATGCCCACTGAGTATTAGTGGAAAAAATTCTGGACAACCAAACTACATCTGACCTGCAGAATTTCTCATTTAAAAAAAAATTGTAGCTTTGCAAAGCTAGAGTATTTAAAAGTGTAAGCACTTGCCTAAGAATAGTCTAAATTACATGTGGAAATTTAATATATGCTAAAAGTAGCATTTCAAAACAGTGAGGAAATAACAAATCACACAATCAACAGGGTTTGAATAATTGATGCTCGTGGAAAAAAAGTATATTCCTACTTCACATATTCACTGAAATAAAGTCCATGTACATCAAAAATAAATGTTTTAAATTATTAAAATTACCAGGGCTGGGCTCAGTGGCTCAGCCTATAATACCAACACCTTGGGAAGCCAAGGCAAGTGGATCGCCTGAGCCCGTGAGTCCAAAACCAGCCTGGGCAACTTGGCGAGACATCATCTCTACAATAAAACAAAAATTAGCCAGGAATGGTAGGTAGTGCATGCCTATAGTTCTGGCAACTTGGAAGGCTGAGGAAGAAGGATCGCCAGATCCCAGCAAGTCAATGCTGGGGTGGCCGTGAGTGTACAACTGCACTCCAGCCTGAGCAATGGAGTAAGACTCCAACTCAAAAAAAGAAAAAGTACTAGGGAAAAATTTAGAAGAATATCCTTGTGAACTTGAGTTACGATGACCTTGTTAAATAAGAAAAAGCAAAAACTATGAAGAAAAACAACCAAACAATTATGTCAAAATGACAAAATATTATACAAAAAAAGCACCATAAACACAATTAAAAGATAAATGAAAAACAAGTTTAAATTATACATATAATTAATATATGTATAAAGATCTGTGAACAGAACATATAAAGAATTCCTGCCGGGCTTGGTGGCTCAGCCTGTAATCCCACGCCTTTGGGAGGCTGAGGTGAGTGGATTGCCTGAGCCCGTGGGTTTGAGACCCACCTGGGCAACTTGGTGAGACCTCATCTCTACAATAAATCAAAAATCAGCCAGGCGTGGTAGCGCACACCTGTAATTCTGGCTACTCAGAAGGCTGAGGTGGAAGGATCGCCGGAGCCCAGCAGGTCGAGGCTGTGGTGGCCAGAAGCGGCCACTGCACTCCAGTCTGGGTGACAGGGTGAGACTCCAACTCAAAAAAAAAAAGAATTTCTAAATGGGAAATGTCATATTTCAAACAGCAATATTAAAGGGAGGGAATCTTGTGTTGTAAGTGGAAAAAATGTTTCTGGAGGTTTTAGCTTCATTTATACAGTTTTATACTCAAACTGTTATAAAGTTTGGTGTTTGTTTTTTTTTTAAGTTGGAGTCCCCTCTGCTGAAGGGCAACGGCACGCTCCTGGCCACTGCAGCCTCAACTGCTGGGCTCAGGCAATCCTTCCGCCTCAGTCCTCCAAGTAGCTGGAACTACAGGTACATGCCACCGTGCCCAGCTAATTTTTTTATTTATAGTAGAGATGCGGTCTCGCCAAGTTGCCAGTCTGGCCTCGAACCCACAGACTCAGGCAATCCTCTCACCTCAGCCTCCCAAATTCCTGGGATTATAGACGTGAGCCACTGCCCTCTGCCTGATTTTTTTTTAAGAGTAGAGTCTTTTGTTTTGTTTTGCTTGTGTCAAAGTCTCTGTCGCACAGGTTGGAGTGCAGTGGCATGACCACGGCTCACCACAGCCTCAACCTCCTGGACTCAGGTGACCTTTCTGCCTCAGCCTCCTGAGTAGCTGAGACTACAAGTGCACGCCCCCAGGTGTGACTAATTTTTTATTTTTTGTAGATAAGAGATCTCACTACGTTGCCTAGGCTGGTCTCGAACTCCTGAGTTCAAGCAATTCTCCCACCTCAGTCTCCCAAAATGCTGGGATTACAGGAGCAAGCCCTCTTTTGTTTTTTTAAGTGCAATGACATGATCACAGCTCACTGCAGCCCTGAAACACCTGTGCTCAAAGACTAAATTAAATATATACATGTTATACATATATAAAAGAAGATATAAAAAATACAAGTATCATTAAAACAAATTTTAAAACCACAGGCAGTCATCTCTCATTATCCACTGGGGATTGGTTTCAGGACCTCTCAAACACCAAAATCCATGAATGACAGAGTCCCTGATAGAAAATGGCATAGTATTTGCATAAACCTCATGTACATGCTCCAGTATACTTTAAATCATGTCTAGATTACTTTTTTTTTTTGAGTTGGAGTCTCACTCTGTCGCCCAGGCTGGAGTGCAGTGGCACACTCGGCCACCCCAGCATCAACCTGCAGGGCTCAGGCGATCTTTTTGCCTCAGCCTTCCAAGTAGCAGGAACTATAAGCTCGCGCTATCACACCTGACTAATTTTTGATTTATTGTAGAGACAAGTTCTCACCAAGCTGCCCATGCTGTTCTCGAACCCATGGACTCAGACAATCCCTCACCTCAGCCTCCCAAAGTGCTGAGATTACAGGCTTGAGCCACCACACCGCCCTAGATTACTTTTAATACCAAATACAATGTAAATGCTATGTAAATAGTTGTTATGCTGAATTGTGTTTTCCTTTTTTTTTTTTGAGTTGGAGTCTCACTCTGTCGCCCAGGTTGGAGTGCAATGGCATACTCATGGCCACCCCAGCGTCGACCTGCTGGGTTCTGGCGATCCATCTGTCTCAGCCTTCCAAGTAGCTGGAACTAGAGGTGCATGCTACCACACCTGGCTAATTTTTGATTAATTGTAGAGATGAAGTCTCACCAAGTTGCCCGGACTGGTCTCGACTCCTCGGGCTCAGGCAATTCACTTGCCTTGGCCTCTCAAAGTGCTGGAATTACAGGTTAGTCACTGAGCCTGATCCTGAATTGTGTTTTCATATGTAATTTTTTTTTTTTTTTTTTTTTTTTTTTACTGTTGTACTGTGTGGTTTTTTTCCAAATATTTTCAGTCCACAGTTAGCTGGATCCACACATGCAGAGGAGGGGCGACTGCACTACAGCTATCTACTTTAAACGTTTCTCTCAAAGATAAATCAATATAGATCTAAACCAAATCTCTGATTTCCTGGCATCATTCTTTCAACGAATTGGCTTAGATCAAGGAACAATAGGCTTCAGCAATTACATAATATTTTCCAAAAGTCCGTCATTAAGTAGAATTAGTTCTTATAAGTGTTTCTTCATTGAAAATGTTATCCAGGGGTGGGATTGGCAGTTGAAGGAAACTGCCAGGGGAGGGAGGGGCACACCTCATCAACAAGGGTTCCTGCATAATGAACATTTATACACCTAATACTGAATTGGACCCCACATCTTTAAAATAATAAATAAATAAATAAGAAAATGATATCCAAGTAAATCATACAGTCAAAATAAGATTCTAAAAACACTATATATTCTAGTCAAACTCAAGCAGGTTAAAAATCCTAAAAAATAGGGGGGGGAGGGGGATGGGATTCACAGCAGCATATATCTATCTGGGGATGGGAAAATACCTCTTATCAACAGGGTGCCTGAATGAAACGTAATTGTACACCTAACCCTTAACTGTACCCCACAAAACCATAATAAAAAATATTGATTAATAAAAAAAAAAATCCTAAAAAATGTGAACACACTTGCAGTATCTCCACATCAGTGAGTCAGTACAGACAGCCCTAGGCTAACAACAAACAGGACAGGAAATCCACAGAAACTGAACCTTTAAGGAAAGACTCCAATTATCTCTCCATCCCAGAAATAGCAATGGTACATCAACTTCAGGAACTGTAATATTTTGTTAGTATTGTTAGGAAATTTCTTTCCAGGACTAATCGAGTCCATGAAGTAAAAATTCCTTTTCATGATTAATCTGGAAAGTAGGTGACAGATAGTAATTCACAACTTGCTACTTAAGATGTATTCTATTTCAGGATCAAAGAGGGATACAAAGTTTTTCTTTTAAGTAATCTGAATACTGCTTAAAATAAGTAAACCATTCATTATCTGGAATCCTTTGAATGATAACAAAAGCTAACATTTAGTGACTATTTATCTATGCCAGGTATTGTACTATGAGTTTTATAAGATTTAATGTAATATTCATACAAAGTATATTCGATATTCACTTATAATTTAATATTTTGTACTAATAAGTTACATAGGTACTGTCATTATTATCTCCATTTTACAGATGAAGAAAGCTGAGGCTTACAGGGCTTGACTTATCTAAAGTCACACAAGTATTAAATGGTAGG